TCTCTGCCTCCCAAGTGCTGAGATCAAAGGTGTGTACCACCATGCCCGGCTTCTAAATAATTTTTAGTGTAAAACATTTAAGTGTATTGTAAATTTCTGAAACTTTTCTTTGCACGGGAAATTTCCTGAAGCACACTATTATGACAAGCCTGTTGGAAGTTAATTCCTTGACTAGACACTGAGGATTTACCAACTAAAAGGTATAGATAACACCTTTTAGATTGAGTATCAGTGTATTTTACAATAAATGTCTCTCTCTATATAAAATCCATAATGTAATAAAGTATAATGTGATATAATAGAAATATAGTGTACCTTAGTAAATATGCATATGTATACTGTAATTAATAAAGGATAGCATATTATATTTACTAATAGAAGTACAGTCATCCTTCAGTATCCACAGGAGATTGGTCTAGGATGCCTCTGGATACAAAAATCCTCCACTGTTCAAGTCCTTTATAATGTGGTATAGTAGTTTCACATCAACCTGCCCCCATCTTCCTGTATACCTTGAATCATTGCTAGGTTATTTATAAATAACTAATGCAGTATAGATAAATGCAAGGTAGATAGTTGTTACCTTGTTTAGGAAATAGTAACAATGTGTATATTGTGTGCATCAGTACAGGTGCTTTTTTTTCCCCCCCTGAATATTTTCAGCTCCAGAAAATAGCTGTGGACATGGAGGGGAGACTCTGCATTTGGCTAGCTTTGTATGGCTCTTTGGATTTCATGAAGTAGTTTTGTAATAGATTTTTGTCATTTGTTTGCTTTTCCCTTCTGAGACAGGGTCTCATATAGCCTGGAACTTCTTAACTATGTGCTGAGATGACCTTGATGACCCACCAGTGCTGGGATTTCAGTGGTCTGCCACACCTCTTGTTTATACAGTATGGGGGGATCAAACTCAAGGCTTTGTACATACTAGGCAAGCACTGTAGTGTGCTGCGGCCCCAGCCATTTGTTTATTTAAAGACTTCTATTTTTATTTTTTATATGTGTGAGTGCTCTGCATATATGTATGTGTACTTCATTCCTGGCTGGTGCCTTTGGAGAACAGAAGGGGGCATTGGACCCCCTGGAACTGGAGCTGTAGACCAGTTGTTAGTTGCTGTGTGGGTGCTGGGAACAAAACCTGGGTCCCCTGCAAGAGCTGTAAGTGCTCTGAACTACAGAGCTATCTCTCCAATCCCCGTTTTGTTTTGTTTTTTTTTTCTGGGGTTTTTTGTCGCCCTATTTTTCAAGGCTGAATTTACTCATGTTGCCTAAACTGGCCTAGAATTCTACAGCTTTCTGTGTTATCCTCCTGAGTACTGGGGTACAGATGTGCATCACTACACCTGGCCTTTGCTCTACTTGTCTATTGTGAGTGTTAAGTGTCAAGTGTTATAACATGGGCCTTACATTATTTTTTTCATTTATACTGACAATATGAATATATTTTCCACTTTCTGAAAAGAAAATTGAACCTCAGAAATTAATTTGGCTAGTACATATATAACTAGTGTATGAGGCACAGTTAAAGGAAAATGCAGTTGTTGAGTACTGCTAGCTCTGAGTTTATTTTCTTCCCTGAAAACTTTTGGGATTTGTTTTTGTTTTTGTCTTTTTGAAGCAGGGTCTCCCTGCAGCCCCAGCTGCCCTAGAACTATGTAGACCAGGTTGGCCTTGAACTCACAGAGATCTTCCTGCCTCTGCCTCCCAAGTGCTGGAACTACAGGCATGCACTACCATGCCCAGCTAACTTTTGGGATTTGTAATCATATGAATAAATGTGAATGTATCACATGAAAGTGAGCACTTTGATCTAAAGAGCTGCATAGGATGCTGTGGAGGTAAGTAGAAGGGCAGGATAAGTTACCCATTACCAGTGCTGGATGGGATGTTTCAAGTTTTCAGATTCAACTCTTATAGCTCTATTTGAAGAAAATAACTTTATTTTAATTTTAATTTTTTTATGTGTATGCGTGTATTGCCTGCATGTAGGTAAGTGCACCCATTTCGTGCAATGCCCAAGGAGGTCAGAAGAGGCTGTCGGATCCCCTGGGACTGGAGTTATGGACAGTTGTTATCTGCCATGTGGATTCTGGGATTCAAACCCGGGTCCTCTGCAAGAACAACCAGTGTTCTTAACCTCTGCACCATCTTTCCAGCCCCAGAAAATAACTCTTAGGATTTGTTCTGGTGGTTTAATTGAATTTGAATCATAACCAAGTGGGAGATACTTTTCATAATGAGCCATCCTACTGAATGTTTAATGGATTTGTTATTTTTAATTATGTGTGTATGTGTGGGTCTGTGTGGTGCCTCCACAGGCCAAAGGTTTGGGATCCCATGGCGCTGGAGTTACAGGCAGTTGTGAGCCACCTTACATGGTTTCTAGGACTCAAACTCTGGTCCTCTTAACTGCTGAACCATCTCTTCACCCTTTCTTTCTGACTTAGTCTCTAAAGGAACAACTTTAAGTCCCAGAGAGAAGAAAAGGTAGTCTAAGCTAGGGATGGAGAGATGGCTCAGCTGTTAAGAGCACTGACTACTCTTGCAGAGGACCTAGGTTTGGTTTCTAGCACCCAAATGATGGCTCACAACTACCAGTAACTTTAGTTCCAGGGGATCCAATGCCTTCTCCAGGGACTATATACATGTGGTTCACTTAGATACATGCAGGCGAACAGACACATAAGATTAAAATGAAAGATACCTGGTTTTCCTAAAGATCACACAGTAGGGCTGGAGAGATGGTTCAGCAGGTAAAGGTACTTGATGTTTATTCTGACCTGGGTTCAATCCTCAGGATTCACATGGTGGAGGGAAAGAACCTACTCCTGAAAGTTGTTCTCTGGCCTCTACACTGTCTGGCACATGTGTACTTACACACATACATAAACAAGTGTTTTTAAAAAATTTAGTAGCCATTTGTGGTAGCACACACCTCTAATCCCAGCACCTTCCTGTTCTACCTAGTGAGTTCCAAGTTCCAGGGCTACATAGACCCTGTCTCCAAAACAAAACCCCCAAGCAAAAAAACAATAACAATTTTTTTAAAGAAACAGGAAATAATTGAACCAGGATTCAAACCTAATTTTAGATTTTTCTTTTTTATGTGTGTGTTCTGCCTTATGTAAGTGTACTGATTAGCATACAAGCACAGGGGTCGGAAGAAGGCATCTGATCCCCTGGAACTGGACTTAAGGATGATTTTTAGCCACCACTTGGGTGCTGGGAACCTAACCCATCACTCCAGTCCTCTTCAAACCTAGTATCTTCTATGTTAAGCTTTCCTTGCAAGACACTGCCCCCTACAGCCTGTTCTTATCATCGCATCCTCTGCGAGGAACTCACCTTTAATTGCTGAGCCATCTCTCTAGCCTCCCATTGATGTTTTTGAAGAATATTACCAAGTTGTCTTGTAGAATGCCCCACAATGTGGATTAGATTCATTTATGAATTTTCCATAAAAATACTATATAGGTAGTTGTCACGATTTGGATGTGAAATGTCTCCCATAGGCTCGTGTATTTGAACACTTGGTCCCCAGCTGGTGGTGCTGCTTGGGAAAGTGGAACTTCAGTGGAGGAGTGGGTCGCTGGGGTCAGGTCTTGAAGATCTGCAGCCCGACCCTCTTACTGTTCATGTTCACTCTTTGCTTTTTTTTTTTTTTTTTTTGGGTCTCCCTGTAGCCTCAGCTGTCCTGGAACTCACTATGTAGACCAGGCTGGCCTTGAACTCATAGAGATCCACCTGCTTCTGCCTCCCGAGTGCTGGGATTAAAGGCGTGCGCCACCACACCTGGCTTTTTTTTTTTTTTTAATTTGGGGAGGGGGGGGGTTTGAGACAGGGTTTCCCTGTAGCCCCAGATGACCTGGAACTCGCTGTGTAGCCAAGGCTGGGAGCTCTATTCATTCTGCCTTCACCTTCTCTGTGCCTCAGTACAAGTGGCGAGACCACACTTAGCTTCTACTGTTACTTTTAAATTTTGTTTTCTTTGTTTGAAATTTTGAGACAGTGTCTCATGTAGCCCAAGCTAGCCTGCTTGAAGTCCTGATCCTCTTGTCTCTGCCCCCAATGCTAGGATTACAGAGTATGCCATTATGCCTGGTGTATGTTGCTGGTTTTAATAAACAAAAAATGTGAGCTAGATTTCTACAACAGAAATACCCTGTATTTCCAAGAATTTCTACCCAGTGATTTTTTTTTTTTTAATTGCGTATGTGTGTTCATTCCCAAGTTGACTCATTGTTCTCTTTTGTTTTCTCTTTGAGACAGGGTCTTCCTATATCCCCCAGCTGGCCTGGAACTCACTGTGTAGACCAGGCTTGCCTTGAACTCAGATCTGCCTGCCTCTGCCTCCTGAGTGCCAGGACTAAAGGTGTGTCTTTTTTGGAAAATTTTTTTTTTTTTTTTTTTTTTTTTTTTTTTTTTTTACATTCACTTAAAATTTTTTTTGACCTTTATTTATTGTACATGTAATGTGCATGTATACCTGTGCGCACACATGCATTCTGTAACATACTAATGATGGCGGTCAGAGGACAACTTTTCAGGAGTTGGTTGTCTCCTACCATGTGGGCCCCAGGGGTTGAACTCACCTTTATCTGCTGAGGGCCTTTATCTCAAGGGCCCCATGTACCTGTGATTTCATGTGGATGGTTTAATACATTGGTGATGATACAAACTAACTTATGCTTCTTCTCTTACACATAGGAAGGATTGGATATGAGTCAACTTTCTTGAACAAGAGCAGTTAGCTTGACTTCAGATTATTGAGTGGGAAACACAGCAGCCCGGCTAATACCTTCTGATATGCACTAGGCTGCAGGTTTGGGACTATTTCTGTCAGCAGACCCTGCTGCTAACGAAGGCCTAACCAAAGTTTTAGAAGCTGACACCAACTACCAAGGCAGTGAAATTAAAAACGTGTTGGTTTTCAAGATCTAAGAATAGCCACAGCTTCCTGGGTTTTGAGCTCCAGAGAACCAAGTCTCACCTAAAGCATCATGTCCATGCCCAACGAGTATGTTCAAGACTCGGAGTTTGCAGCAGGCCTGGCAGACCTCCAAGTAGAGATCAGCTGTCCCATGTGTAAGGAATACTTCCAGAATCCAGTGACGCTCAAATGCGGGCATAACTTCTGTCTCTCCTGCGTCAGTATGTTCTGGAAAGATCTAAAGGGTCGTTCCCCCTGCCCCTCTTGCTGGTTTAACTGTCCAGAAAGGCAGTTTTCCAGCAATCACCTGCTGAGTAATTTGACGGAAATTGTCAAGCTGTTCCCTATAAGACCCAAGAGGAGAAGAGAAGAAGGAAAGCTTATTCGTACGAGGCGCAAACAGGCTCTGACCTCTCTCCCACAGCGCGATTTCTCCACCAATCCCAAGCATCACTTCATTTGGCCCATTGAGAAAGCCGCCCAGTGTCACAGGAAACAGATAGACCGCTACATTGAGCTGTGGAGGGAGAGAGTGGAACCAGTTGAGAAAACAATCGCCATGCAAAAGAGGAAATTAAAGGAACTGAAGAGAAAGGTCAAACGTAGAAGAGAAGAAATCAACTCTGAATACGAACAAGTTAGGGTGTTTCTCCAGGATCAGCAAGAGACCATTCTTAAGCAGTTACAAGACGAAGAAGTGGATGTTCTAGCAAAACTCAATGAAAACCTAACAAAAATTTCCGATTATACCTCCTCATTAAAACATCTATTGAAGGAGGCAGAGAGCAAATGCGAAAAGTCACACCTGGATTTGCTGGCATGTGCCAAGGATATCTACCACAGACAGAAAAGCTTACAGTGCCCTGAACCGGGTTCATTCACATTGAAAGAGTATGGCTACCGCCTTCCTCCACAGTATTATGGCCTGTTCAGAATTATCGAGCGATTTAAAGTGGATGTAACTCTAGATCCTGAAACAGCACATTGTAAACTTACTGTCTCTGAAGATAGAAGGGCCGTACAGTATGGGAATAAGCCTAAATTACGCCACAGCCAGAGGTTTTATTTCTGCCCGGCTGTTCTAGGTTCAAAGGGGTACAGGTTCGACAGGCAGTATTGGGAAGTGGAGGTGGGGGACAAACCTGAATGGGTCCTGGGGGTCTGCAAAGAGCCTCTGCCCAGGAGAAGAAGTCAACAGACCTTAATACAGGATGGGTTATGGGGTGTTGGGCTATATAATCAGATGAATTATGTTGCAGTGGGCCCAAAGAAAATTAATCTCCTGCCAAAAGTAACCCCTAGTAAGATTGGTATTTTTTTAGACTCCGAAGTAGGTGAGGTTTCGTTTTACAATCTGAATGATAACTCCCTCCTGTATAGTTTCAGTGATTGTCCTATGGGCCCATTTTGGCCTTATTTCTGCACTGGAACTGACCCAAAGCCTCTGAAAATCTGCACAATCACAAACCCTGGGGGATGAGCTGTTGGGTTTTCTCTCAGGTAGCGGCCATAACACCCACTGAATCCAGTCCACAATTCAGGACTTTCGTTATTTTTTAAAATCTATCTCAAGCTCCAAGCAATATAGTATCTACTTTATAAAACGTGGGCCCATTCAAAAAGTATTTTAGAAAACTACACTTTTAATCCCAGCAATGTGGAGGCAGAGGCAGGTGGATATTTGTGAGATTGAGGCCAACATGGTCACCATAGAGCTCCAGTTCAGCTGGGACTATGCCCCGCCCCCCAAAAGTGTTTTATTAATTCTTGAAGTAATTGAAAAATTAATTAGGAAAATGTATTGCTGTAGTAGTTGCCAATAAAAATTTTGTTAATTGCCTATGTATTTTTCCTTTAAGAAAAATTAAGCCTTTATTAAATTGGGCATAGTGGTTCATGCTTGTAGTTTCATAGGGAGGCTGCGGCAGGGTTGCTGCAAGTTTGAGGCTAGCCTAGGCTACATAGTAGTACCCAGTCTTTAAAAATATTTTATTTTGTTATATTTTATGTGTATGCGTGTATTGCCTGCACGTAGGTAAGTGCACCTGTGTCGTGCAATGCTCATGGAGGACAGAAGAGGCTGTCGTATCCCCTGGAACTGGAGTTATGGACAGTTGTTAGCTGCCATGTGTGTGCTGGGATTTGAACCTGAGTCTTCTGCAAGAGCAGTCAGTGCTCTTAACCTCTGAGCCGTCTCTCCAGTTCCCAACTTTTTTTTTTAAAGATGATTTTCAAGACATATTTTAAATACCTTAGAAAAGACAGGATGACTCTGGCATGTTCTAGAAAGAAATAAAACATGCTTTCCTGTACCCTTGTCCTCTAAGGCCTGGAATGATTCCTACACAGGAAGCCCAAAGTGCTTCTTAGAGACACAGCCCCTAAACTGAGTGATGACTAAAAATGCACCAGCCTTTGCCAGCTGTAGAAAACGCCTTTCAGCAATTAAAAAAGAAAATTTTTTGTACTTAGGGGAAAATATAAAACATAGGCACTTGTTTTTATTGCAAGTTTGTTATGGTTTAAACAACACAACCCTGCACGCTTGCCACCATGTGGGAAACACATTTCTGCATATGCTGCAGGTCCAGTTGGACAGGAGTCCCTGCTTTGAGTTTTCCTTAGTGCCATGGGTCAAATAGAATGGGCTGGAGAGATGGCTCTGTGGTTAAGAGCACTGGCTGCTCTTGCAGAAGACTAAGGTTTGAATCTCAGTACCCACATGGAGTCTAACAATCTAACTCGAGTTCCTCTTTTGTCCTCCATGGACATTGCACAACACGGGTGCACTTGCATACATGCACATAATGTACACACCAAAAATAAAATTTTTTTTGGAAAGAAAAGGTCCTGTTTTGTGCTACGTGTAACCTCAGGAGCTAGGGTGGTGGACGCAGTAGGATGAGCAATCCAGTGCTACTTGGGCTACCTAACTACTTGAGACCATATTATAGACCACTGTCCTGGCATGACATAACTTGCCTTCTTGAACTCTTGGAAGTTTTAATTACCTGAAACCCGCACAAGATTGGGTTCATTAGCCCCTTGGTCATGAAGAGAGGGACCCAAAACAGGGCGTTTTAGGTGTTCTAGATATTTTCAATTTCATTTGTATTTTTCATGTATATGAATGTTTTGCATGTATGTAGGAGTACCACATGCCATGCATTATCAACACAGGTGAGAAGAGGACTTCAGATCCCTTGGAACTGGAGTTATGAATGGTTAACTGCCATGTGAATGTTGGGAACTGAACACAGTTCCTAGAGAAGAACAGCCAGCTTGGGCTACCAATTGGAAAATACGGACCCAGCTCCATCTTTTATTTAGGAGGTACTGGATGTACTTCAAAGTGTGTCCATGTCACCTTGCTAATGAGTTTTCTGCTCCAAAGACCATCAATATTAGAACTGCAGGTTTCTCCTAACAGCCAGGTTCAAGGAATGCCTGGAGTGGCCCTGAGTGTGGATGGCAACAGCCCTGACAGTGCTGGAACTTCGTGGGCACTGGCTCTTAAAGATCTCACTGGGG